GTTTCTAACTCCGGTTCCGAATTAACAACGGACAATAATAATAATGATTAAATAAAATGGTGGAGTAGCGTGGATCTATCGCATGGTCGCCTTTGGACAAATCCCCATCGCACGCACTCATTTAACATGTACAGAGGGCTATGCGGAGAACGATAGAGTGCATAGATCACATGATGTCTCGGAAACTGGATATGTTACAGCGGTATACGTCCGGTGCTCCCTGAGCATGAACAGCCGCATTACTCGTTGTATTCGTCAAGATGCGAGCAAGTCCCTTGAAGCTGATCTTAGTCGCATGGCTGAAACTGGTTGCAGAGGTAACTGCGATGCAAAGCAATGGGTTATTGGCAGAAGGACTTTGCTCTGCCCCTCCTAATACAACCTGGACGCACTCACAAACAATATTACACAATAAAAAAAATTATGGTGATAAGATTCAAACCCTTGCCAACAACCGCATTACAACCATACACGAGATTTCCGCATGTTTCCAGTGAAACCATGTATGACTGAATGCTAGCCAAGTGGACCATGAGTCATACAACCATTTCCGTTTAAAAATCTTAACGGAGCAAGAACAACGAACATCTCTGCATCAAATCACATAGTGATTGCACGAGGTTGTCGAGGTACCCATGCGGTTTCTAATATCCCTAAGGAGAGATAGTTTACCTGTGAATCCGCGCAATTTAAAACGCCTTAGGAACTCTCAAATCAAAGCCTCCACCTGCCGTTGTACGGAAATAAACGCCAAGATGAGATGTGTGGAACACGCCTTGAGTGGACTAAATCCTATCTGTCTTGTGAAGTTCTACAATTCTCTTTCGTGACTTACGAGTTAAAACAAGGATGCACGCAGAGCAGCAAGTCTTGAGTTCCATTTCTTCTGAGTGTCTCGCTGAGATGACCCCAAGAAACCCAGAGAAGTACGTATTAAATTTATCCTAGGTCTTACTAAGTCTTCACCAACTAGAAGTCTTGGCCTTCGGTTTCCACTTTTCGGTGTCCGTCAGTAAGTGTGAGCGAAGAGAACTTGAAGCACAATTTGAACATCTGTACGAGCAGCTTTCCAGTCTGACACTGGTGACAGATGAAGCCGTTGGATGGTTTAAGGCCAAAGCTGTAGATATAGTCAATCAATTTTACGGTGCGAAGCTCGAAATGTGTTGAATAATTACGGAAGACCATTTTGATTCCTCGATGCAGTTGCGTCGCAATGATGCACTAATACTGAGACCTGACATAGGTTCCGCAGTCGTTGTGATGAACAAACTGGATTACTTACAGAAGCAGACTATGCTCATGAACGAAAGTCATTTTGTTAAAGATCTGACCGGCCGTGATAGAACCGGAAATGTTGGAAAGATGATAACCCGCGAGGTACGAATTTTGCACAAAGACGGATTGATCGATGCGAATACCATGACACAACTACGGCCGCTTGGTCCCAGACTTCTTCGAATTTATGGGTTGCCGAAAGTGCATAAAGAAGGGGTTCCATTACGCCCAATCCTTTCAATGGTTGGAGCACCGTACTAGAAATTGGCACGATGGTTAGTCAAGCTAATTGAGCCCATCCGACGTGAGTTGGCGGTGCACAGCTTAAAAAATTCATTTGAGTTCGTTGAAATGATCCGGAATCTAAATGTGAGCGGTAAGCGAATGGTATCTTTTGACGTATGTTCTTTATTTACAAATGTCCCATTGGAAGAGATGCTGAACATCATAGGCAGATATGCAGGTAGAGTGGGATCTCCACCACATCGATTAAAGAACTTAATTCGTATCTGTACAAAAGATTTTCAATTTTATTTCAATGGAAGTCGCTATCAGCAGATTGAGGGGCAGTCGCCTTGGCCTCATTTTGGCTGACATCTTCGTAGCTCATCTAGAGAACACCAAATTGTGTCACCCTATACAGGAAGCTCACTTGTACGCTCGATATATTGATGACACCTTTGTGGTGGTGGACGAAGCCCAACAAGCGGAACGCATGCTCAAAACGTTTAATGAATGTCATCCAGAGATCGAGTTCACCATGGAAAGCGAAACATCAGGAAAGTTCCACTTCTTGGATGTAGCTTTGGAAAGAAGAACAGATGGGTCGCTCCTGAGATCAATTTATCACAAACCGAACTGGATGGGGCAATACCAAAACTTCGACAGCTACTGCCCCATGAGCTACAAGCGCTCCCTAGTTCGTGCATCATTTGTGAGAGCCCGCGGTATCTGTTCAGAGGAAACGATGGAGGAATGGCTACAGGGTATCGCATCAACCCCACGTAAAAATAGGTAACCTGCCAAGTTCATCGCAAGGTATGGGGAGAAAACCAGGCCGCACGAAGAGCGAACTGAAGCTCTCAAATTAGAAGGTATTCACTGCACTGTCTTACATAGAGGAAGAAAATGACAGACGGTTCTGCTGTCGCTTACTTCATGCCATAAAGAGGTGCTACCATACAGCTGAGGCTGTGTTGATCCACAGAAACAAAAAGCTACTAGATGAATCCAATTAGGACAAGCCTCACTCTACTGTCACCGCCTTTTTTCAGTTTAACTGTACTTGCGGTAGCATGTACACTGGCCGTACAGAGGTTGTCCACTCGGATTTCAGAACATATCGCACGGAACCTTGCTCTCCGTGGCGCAACATTACCTGCCACCTCCGCTGCCCGGCACTTATTCAACTGCTCGATGTGTGAGAATCCCCACGAAGCTGAGGCTTCTGCCATTCGGCGTTTGAAACCTAACCTATGTAAACAACTTCAGTTTGTGGCCAATCTTGCTTTGTCCAGGTGAGGCAAGACAAGCTAGCCAAGACAACTAAGTATCGATTTCTGGCATTGACCTATTACATACAATCGTTTGAAAATTTCACCCATTGTATGTAAGCGGCTGAAGAGAATACACGAATAATACTGAATTCAGAATATTCCGCAGAAATGTTCGTTGTTCTTTCTCTGTTAAGACCATGAGTCACTAGGCATCCAGGCACTTAAAGAATGGCAATTCTGGTTGATGGATCTGATTTACTGAGAAACTGAAGAGGCCTCCAACTGGTCGATAACGTTCCGTCGAATTCGCACCCAAGCATGGAACTTAAAGTATTTACTCTAATACGTGGGCACACACAACAGTGAAAAGTACGTATCCTCGGGCCTAGTGACCGAAAGAGCAAAGTTCACTTCAATTGGAATCGCGGTCAACGTTGAGACTGCATGTCGCAATTCATCCGCAAAACATGTGCCTTAAAAAGGACCCACAATATGTACTTAACCGTTTTGTTGGTAGAAGTGGTTATCCGTCCGGTATTTGCAGTTATGACGGAGTGTACTTCGTTAAGGTAGCCAAGAAGATACGTGACTGTTTCCAAGGTATGAATTGATAAAAAGTCAATCTCGAATTGCTTGCTCATTGGGTACAATGACATTTCAGCCCAACATCCTCTAAACACAGAGGTAGTGTGGAAAGGAGCGATCCGTCCAGTAAGGAAGGTGTCTATTATGGTGTGTAGCCAGTCGCACGTCTGACGAATACCTCGCTCTCATACTTACCGAAGCTCCACAAGCATTAAAATACCCCCCTTGGTAGTACCGACGAACGATAATCGTGACAATCCCCAACTGACACCGAACATTTTCCCCTGATTCGGGGAGAATTACTGGACTTTCTCACTCAGGCCATCGAGGAAAGATGTAAAGAACAATGGAAGATGAACTACACAGCTACAATACTTTAGCCATGATGAACAAGAGAGTACCAAATTATCTTGCACGTGCGATAGAGGTGATTGTATCCAAAAAGGGGAATTTCGTAGATGAGTTGGCACTGGTCATATGAGAAAGCATGCCCTGAGGACGTTGGTCTTTAGGGTTCGTAATTGTTTGTGAGACCAGCTTCCACGGACTAGTAGGGAAAGCTTCCTTGAAAACAGTGATAATGCATACAGAGTGGATATGTCGTATATAGTGTGACGAATAGCAGATCATCAATATTGTGCTGGGTGTAGGACAAGAGTTGAAGAGAACGGTTTTTAACCACGGGCCCAAGAGAGCAGCAGGTAGTAGGTGTCATGGATAATGGTTCCTATCAATGTAGGCCTTTGATGCTGCGAATATTCTACAGATCCGAGAAAGGCATCGGCAGCACTCAGGTACGCGGTATCGACGCTTCGATGCCGCGTATCCACTGCCAGTCGAACTTAATGTTAAGGCTACTGCGCAACCGCGAAACCGCGACCTCAGGATTACAAAACGAACTTATGATCCTTATGAGCACAGTCCAAACCTCTAGTAATAGCGAGCGCATGAAAAATCTGATCTTAGGATGAGTTAAAATGTCGTCAACGCCAATCGGGCTACCAACACGCAGCGGAACTTTGGAGGATGGTTCGACGAAATAACGAATTGCAGCGGAAAATTCTCCTGAATCGTCTATGTGGCTCTCACTTGGCAGAAGGCTTTCCAGCCGGATCAATAGACTTTATATCGTGGCAGTGTGTATCATTTACGAATTGAACCATGCCCCTAGCGAAACATGTAGATACGCTATTGTGCGTTTCACCGTCCCACATCTACATCACCTGAGGCTAGTAGCGTGTAACCCATGCCATACCCCTCCAGTTCGTTTTGCGTCGATTGGGATAGTTTGCATTAATTTGGTTTGGCATCATTGTTTTCATGGCACTCTAACACCCTCTGAACGATGTTTATGGGCTCAGCGATCCTGTCCATTAGCTTGTGTTATGCATGTGCGTGAGCTTCAGGTTTGCTTTTGACCCCTAACCAATCTGGGATGGATTACTCACAGTGACTTCGCTAGTAACCTGTTGTATGTGCAGTGTACATGACTTGGTCTGTGGCAACCTTGCTTGTCCCGTAGATTTGAGGTCACCATTGTTCCCCAAACTTGTAATTGCATTCTGGTATCCAGGCTGATACATATGGACCTTGAACGATTAAGTACTGCATCGATATTGCGACCAAAAACTGCTGTAAGTTAAGGATAATTGACCACGAGTAGCGTAACGTTTGGCCGATGAAGGTTACAATATATGTTCAGAAACAGTATGAGAATGATATGGTCCAGTTTTTATCAAAGAAATCATCTATGAGGTTTGGATGGTATAGAAATGCGCGGAAGGAAAGGCAAGCACATAAGGCGGTGAAAAGATTACAGGGATAGAAAAAGGACAAACAAATGGCACTGACACCATCGACTGTAGAACCCCATGGATTAGAGACCGATGTACAAGTCAGGTGAACTAGTGCATTTCGTTAAAGCAATTGTGTAAGTGCAAACTGTAATGAAACTCATTCATCTGGAGGGCAAGCTCTACGCATGCCATCTACCGGCGGACCGGTGCCGGGATAACTACCCCCCGGAAACAGCGATTCACTTTCATAAGGATTGTAATCTTCCCATTCGTCCAAGTGTTTAACTCGATAGCCAGTGGGCGCTTTGGAGCCACCACCAGTCCCTTGCGCCTCACCTTCGCCTCGGTGATGCTCTGAAGAAAGAAAGTTACCTTGCACAAGACTGTCATTGACGCCCTGTAATCTTCCGTCAAGGTGCTCCAATGGTCTCGGTTCACGAACTTTCCGTCTTCGACGACCCCCCACAGTGGCCTGCAAAGCAAGTACTTTCGCCTCGGCTTCACGTCGCACACGTTCCAGTTCAGTTTGGCGCTGCTTTGCTTGTCGAGCAGATCGGCTCTGATAAACTGCAGTGTAGGGATAAAAGCAAACATCGCCTGAAAGACTGGTTGGAATAATATGGTAAAATTACTTTAAGCCATGCCACCAACATCGCAAAATACTGAACTGGTGAAGCAGAAACACAATATAATTAGAATTAAGCTCACAAAGGGGAATTTATACAAGACTGGGTCATTGGTATGGAATGAAATCATAACAATGCTAAAACTGATCTGATTCTACTGTGGTTAGTGAACTGATAAGTACAAATCTGCGTGATCTAAAAGGAATAGTCAAAATGGACGAAATAAGAAAGTAATATCTGCGTCTTCAATACATTGTGAGGTCGATCAAACACAGCACCGATTATGCTTTCACTGTAAAGGAATCGGTTCGTGGAAATAAGTAAACAATGCTATCACAATCGTGAAATAAAATAGTAGAAAGAGACCAGAGTAGAACAGAAATGAAAGCGGAAAGAGTGAAGAATTTGAAAAATATAGTTGACCTAAACAGACGGCCAGCATCAAAATATCTGCGGCTTGACGAGGAAGGATAGTCACCAACAGGTTGCTGTAACGCAAGAAAATGGTGGACAGTCAACCTAAATGGACATGTAATTCAGTCGCATACAAGCAATCCGGAAGGAGACGACAGTGAACACCGAAGTGGGGCAGTTCGAGGAATACAGATGAATGCATTTTAAACCCCAGACCAAGTGAATCAAGTGGAACTGGGATGGAACTTAGTGACGTCAGTCTGTGAGACCAGAGCAATGATTGCATCTTCTTCATTGCACTTCGCGCCACCTAAAACCTAGTAACAAAATAAGACCCACTTCGGCAATCAAAAGGCGGCATACATGTCACATTCCTCAAAGACAACGCAAAATAGTTTGCCAAACCCTTTGACCTGACTACAGGCCCAATCAGTGTCGCATAACATTCAACTGCGTTCATCATCGTCACGGATAGGTTGATGCAAATCAGATCGCTAAAAGAACCCATGGGTAAATATGATAAAAATATGCAGCGCAATCAACCGTTTCACTGAAGAAAAGAGAATGGGCAGTCATCTGTGTCCATCGGACACTGATTGCAAGAAAAAATTCAGCCTCCGTTGTCAGAAGCGCTAAGTTCTCATGAAGGTAGTTACGGCTTTTGCCATAAGCGAGCCGATTTCAGACATCGGACACAAGTCACTGTTGATGTGGCTACCAAGTTAGATGAGTCAGTTAACTATCTATAGTTCCTCATCCTTGAAGCTCTAGGATTGCTGCAGACCCCAATGACATTGCACTATGAATGTGTAAGGAATATGCAGCGAAAAAATATAATCTAGAGCGTTTGTCCTAGGTTGCTGTGCTGCGTTGACATTATCTAACAGTAAGAGATCATCTGCGTGACTCCAACTGGGACCTAGATAACTGCACGTGAGGCCCCTGAATGACAGAGTTTGCTGTAAGGCACATAGGAACGCAAGAAAGTTCGTGAAGTGTAGCTTGTTTAGGAAATGTGCGAGAGGACAGACCGCAGTGCCTGAAGCCTACGTTATATGCTCAGGTATGTTAGTAGCAGTGTTACTCATAAGTGTTTCGGGGAATCAATTGCTGAGATAGCCACTGCACATTCAGAAAATCGCCGGAAAGCTGTTTTATTCTATTGGGACTTGGCAAAAGCGCACATTCAGCAGAGCACTTTGGATCCGGACTCATGAGTTTCACAAGTAAATGACTTCAGATGGTGAACCATGGGCGACGGCAGCTGTCAACAAACCCCGGTTACTAGCTATCATGTAGCACGGCGCTTCCATCAGCACAATGATCATCATCATCATCGTCATCATCATCGTCGTCATCATCATCATCATCGTCGTCGTCGTCATCATCATCATCATCATGACGTGTCACTAGTGTCGACTGCAAGCCATTTGCTGTAACATCTCAAGCCAAGCACAAAGTGACTCAAGTGGAATCCAGCCGGGAAGACGCCACGGACCGGTGGTACTCTGTTTAGACATCAGAGAGTTCATTTCCCGTTGCAGAGTTAAATTTTGGACACCTCGAGCCTCGCGCCACCCTACATCTGGCAAACATAACAAGACCCTCCGCGGTAAGCGGTGACCAGACATACAGAGTACGTGCCCAAGTTAAAGCAACTTATTTATTGCTATCTGTCGTTTCAAGGAACAAGCCTGGCTATAATTGCATAGTACTACCATACATCATCGCAGCGGACACGCTGGTGCCATCGGACACCAGCAATGCCTGGCAGACAACAATGCTCAAAGACTTGAAGGTGCTGCAGGTTCTCAGATCGGAGGTGCCAAGTCTCGCTTCCACACAGCAGAACGGCCCTCACTGTGGCCGTGGAAACAGGGTATTTTAGACGGAGGGAAATCCCATTCTGTCGTCCCAGATGTGGCAGATTCAAAAAACAGTTATAGCTTTTGCAATACATAAACCGACTCTAGTCGTTATGCGCCCATCGTTGCTAATGCAGCTGCCAACGTAGATGAAGTGATCAACTATCCCAAGTTCCTCGCCATCAAGGGTCAAGGGATCATCAAGTGACTGGTGGTTCTGTAACAGCACTCGCTACTTTAAAGGTGTGAGGCGCATGCCAAATGATGGGACCACCCTAGAGGGGCTATTCATGGTTGATTGCGCCGCCCCAAACTCGTTAAAAAGCAGGACAATATGGTTCGTATAATCAAGATCAACAAGGCTTTCACCAGGCAGCACCTAAACGCTTGCATCGTGAAGCTCCGCAAGCGAAAGCTCCACAATTGCGATGAAGTTGAACAAAAATGTGGAAATTGGGAAACCCTGACGAACGTCACTTCCTGTCGTAAAGGCATCCGACAAATCACCCTAGATCCTGACGCAGTATGTCGTGTTCCCTTTTTCCATGGGAACACGTTTCCGCGGAAGTATTTCGAATAGAATAAATCGGCCAACTGAGTCGGACGTACCCTTGAAGTCCAGGAACACAGCTATTGTCGGCCTTCGGAAAGTATGGCGTTGTGCTAGCACCAAACTTGGTACCGTCGATCCGTCTCGTCTTCCGGGCTGGAGTCCCCGTGACTTGCCTTGTGTTTGACTCGAGACTACAAGACATGGCCTGCACTTAAAACCAGTGGCGCGTTTGCTATCGACCCCTAGTCGGATTGCTTATTTAAAATGCTTTTGCTGTATTATCGGCGAGATAATGACTGATTATGAGGCGCAGCAGGGAAATCCGCAAGGAAACTATCTCGCCGATGCCACCTTATCCTTGCACGATAGCCGGCTAATTGTGGCGGTATGTTGTTGACAAGGTGTAGGCACGTTGACCCTCAATGTTTGCTCAAGGCATTAAGGTTTTTCGGTAAGTCCCCCTTCTTTCCCTCTTATTATTCTTTGTCCCGTAGGTCGTTATGGTTGTATGGCAGCGAAGCATCAGTTCAGATGGCTGATGTACTGCTGTTCATGACCTGCCGCAGAGTGAAGATATGAATTCTTCAAAGAAGTCCTGGGCGGAAGCATGCTTGCTCTTCCCTAATAAGTGATTGCCGCTCTGCAGTGAGGTGACGAAGGAGAATTGAAACCAGTAATTTTGACATCACCAGCGTTAGGCTAATGACCCTGTGGTTAGCACTGACGGTGCGACTGCGTTTCTTGTAATTCGTCAATATAATTGATTCACTTCAGCTGGCTGGGATGGGTTCTGCCTTCCAGATCTGTTCAAATAGGAAGGTCAGTGCTTGGCAGAGAACCTCACCACTAGCTTTAAGTTGTGGGGGTGCGAGGGAATCCGGGCCAGCAGCACGAAAACGATTAAGGGCTGCGATCGCGTTTCGGACCTCAGCCTCCGACGGAGCCTCTAAACTAACTGGTCATGGCTCAGCCTGCAACACCTGAGTAGGAAGAGGTCCAGAAGTAGCTGGACAACTGGAGAGATTTTGAAAGTGCTTCAACCAACGAACCATAGGGCACTACCTGTCGTGAATCATGACACCCGCGCTGTCTCTGATTGTCTACCTGACGCCTAGTTTCCTGGGACCGGTGGTGCGGATCAGCTGGAAGAGCTTGTGATAATTGCTTAATGTTCCTCCTACATACATTTCTTGAACCCGACTGGTCCACCAGGGCTTCTTGTCAGCACGCAGGCTTCGTTTTAGTTTGCGAGTAATAGTCCGTCTGGTCACATTGTGCTCACAGCCAGCCGGGAGTTTTCTTCTGGATTCCAACAGGTTCACCGACCCCTCGGGTATTCAGTGACCGATGCGGTGACGATTGATAGTGCCGCAAGCGGAGACTCCTGCATGGTCATGGCTGCGCAGATCCTATTTCATTGAAGCTCAGTGTCATTAGTGTGAGAGTGAAAATTCGGTACGCAGTGTATTTTGGTACGCTTGCCTGACCGAGCGCTGACATAACTTTTCAGCTGCCAATCGATGGAGGCGCTTGGTACGGCCCCCGCTAAAGGCAATGGAAAAACGAGAGCGCTCCAAAGCACGATCAGAGTCGACGCTAGTACACTAGAACGAGCAGCAATCCAGGATGGAACCACGCCACCTGTAACTTATGGCAACATGATCTATTTGGGTCCATCGCTGGTCAGCTACAGGAGGAAGCCAAGTGGCACTTCGGAGCCCACTTTGTTTAAAAGCGGTACTACTATGAAACAGCTGCGTGCGGAGCACCAGCTGTAACAGACGCTCGCCGCTATCCGTCCGTTCGGAGTTACATCCATACTTAATAAGACCAAAACTTCTGTAGAGCCCAGAGGACCTATTTGTGCATTCTTATCCCCTGCAAAAACTATGATACCAGAACTGGTAGCCTTGCGTAGTAGCGTGTTCAGTTCGTGGTGGAAAGCATAATTCGCAGCATCAGAGCTGCAATCGGTGATAGCATAAGTGGAAACCACAAACAAACAGCGCCTAGTGCTGCTCCGAGAAGCAACCTCAGTTGATGCCGTCAAACGGACTGCACGCAGACGGTTGTTCACCGAAATGTAACCAAACAGCGATGACTCAGATA